TCAGTATCCACCCCGTGGAGGATTCCCGACGGCCGGATACGCTTGATACAGGGGGATCTTCAACATCCAGACCCCAAATGGCTTCAATTGACCGTTTGGCATTTGAACGCCGCGCCCTAACCAGGGAGTCGTATTCGGCAGAGGTGATAGATATGATCCAAGCGGCCAGAAGGCCGTCGACTAACCGTCTTTACGATCATACATGGAAGGACTTTTGTCACTGGTGCGACAGGAATCACGTGAGTCTGTCCCAAATCACCATTCCCAGGGTGCTGGAGTATTTGATGGAGGGCGTCAACAAAGGGTTAGCGCCCAACACTGTCCGTAGACAGTTAGCAGCGCTTTCCTCAGTGCTCTCATGGGATTCATCAGAATCATTGTCCAGGCACCCTAATGTGCGGTCTTTCCTCAAAGGAGTAACTAATAGTAGACCTCCCGTTGTTCACAGATACCCTTCCTGGAGTTTGCCCCGGGTCCTTCAGGCTTTGACTTCATCCCCATTTGAACCTCTCAAAACGTGCTCTCTTCGACACTTGTCTCTCAAGGTCTCCTTCCTGATCACAATTACTTCGGCCAGGCGCATTTCAGAGCTAGCGGCCTTGTCGGTCAGGAAGGACCTGTGCACGTTTCATGAGGATAGGGTGGTTCTTCGCCTTGACCCTTCATTTATCCCAAAAGTTAACACTGTATTTCATAGGGCTCAAGAAGTCATACTTCCAGATTTTTGCCCTCACCCGTCACATGACTTGGAACGGCAGTGGCACACGCTCGATGTTCGGAGGGCTTTGCGATGCTATATTAAGCGTACGGCTCCTTTCCGTAAATCGGAAGCTCTGTTCGTTTCTTTTCAACCTTCGTCTATTGGCCAGAAGGCTTCAGCTTCCACAATAGGTAGATGGATAAGAGCTTGCATCGCCAACGCTTATGTCTCTCTGGCCCTGCCTGTTCCTTCTCGCGTGACAGCTCATTCTACCCGCAGTGCAGCTACTTCTGCGGCTTGGGCAACTCAGGCTTCTATTGAAGACATTTGTAGGGCGGCGACATGGTCATCACCTTCGCCTTTCATTAGGCATTACCGCTTGGACAAATTTGCGTCGGCCGAAGCTGCCTCCGGTAGGCGTATTTTGCAACAAGTGGTCACACCGTCTGGGGACCCGGCCATTCCTGACTCCCGCCCATAGGGACTCCGGGAGCTTTGGTACGTCCCATAGGTGGATTCTTCCGCAGTCATGTTGGAGAACAAGCGTTGGCTTACCTGAACGCCTTTTCTCAACATGACGAGGAAGAATCCACGCCCTCCCATTGGTCAG